CAAAGCTTTTCAGGTGATCTTGATAGTCAACGTCCTGGCTGCTGCCGGATTGCTCGATGAGATAGCGCTCTGCCCGATTGATGTTTTCAGCCGGCGGCAGCCAGGTGAAGGTGACGAAATAGGTGCTCTCAAAGAGAGCTCCGGCCTCTTCGAACGCGGCCCTTCGTTCCTCATCGACCAAGGCCGACAGGGGATCGGTAAAGTCCGAGCGCGGATAGCTTGCTGCCTCATGTCTGTCGGCTTCGAAGAACATGGCCCAGCCGGATCCGAACCGCCTCAGGAGGTTGTTGATCCGGGCAGAGGTCACAACCAGTTCGGCCTCTGTTGCACTTTCCAGGTCCGGTCCGCGAAAGCGCGCTGAGCGCTGGAGGGAGCCGTCCTTGTTCAAAACAACGCCCGGCGCAACGAGGCAACCCCAGGGAAGATAGTCCGCAAGGCATGCCGGTCGCTTTTGGTATTCGGCAAGGTTCAACATGAAAGATACCCCTTGTGGCGGATATGGCGGGACAGCACGTCCATGAAGGCGGGGTCCTTGCGGGCAGCGAAGGCGGCACCTGCGTGCCCGATCAGCCAGACAGCTATCCCTGCGCTCCAAAGCTGAAGGCCGAGCCCGAGTGCGGCGCCAAGCGTTCCATTGGCGATCGCGACGTTCCGCGGCACGCCGCCCATCAGGATCGGCTCGGTCAAGGCGCGGTGGAGTGGAATTTCAAAACCGTCGACAGCCATCAGACGAGCGCCCCGCCCGCAAATGAGAAGAAGGACAGGAAGAAGGAGGTGGCGGCAAAGGCGATCGAAAGGCCGAAGACGATCTGAATGAGGCGCCGGAAGCCCCCCGAGGCTTCGCCGAAGGCAAGCGACAATCCGGTGATGACGATGATCATCACCGCCACGATGCGTGCGACCGGGCCTTCGATGGATTCAAGGATCTGGGTGAGCGGCACTTCCCAGGGCATGCCGGAGCCAGCGGCGTTGGCCTGGGTGGAGAGGCTGAGGACAAGAGCGATCGCGGACATGGTACAGATGAGCAGGCGAAGCAGGAAAGTACATTTGGTCATGACTTTTTCCTCAGGTCAGGCGGTTGAGGGGATTGGTCTTGGGGTTTGCAGTGGCAGGGGCGTCAGAGGTTCCAGGCAATAGTCGCCATTCCCATCAAGGCCTTTGAGGGCAGAGACAGTCTCGACCCGCCGTCCGGGACCCCTTCCCTTCAGAAAGACGACGATGTCGATCGCCTCGGCAATGAGGCGTCGCGGCACTGTGATGACCGCTTCCTGGATGAGTTGCTCCAGTCGGTAGAGACCGGCCTGGCCGGAATTGGCGTGAAGCGTCGTGATCCCGCCGTGATGTCCGGTGTTCCAGGCCTTCAGCATGTCGAGAGCTTCGGGACCGCGGACCTCTCCGATGACGATCCGGTCGGGGCGAAGGCGCATGGTCGAGCGGACGAGGTCGGCAAGCGAGGCAATGCCTGGCCTGGTTCGAAGGGCCACAAAATCTTCGGCCGCACAATGAAGCTCGCTTGTGTCCTCGATGACGATCACCCGGTCGCCATTTCCAGCCACTTCGGCAAGCAAGGCATTGGCAAGCGTGGTCTTGCCGGATCCTGTGCCACCGACAACGACAATGTTCTGCCGGGTTTCGACAGCCTCTTCCAAGGCAGCCGCCTGAAGGGGCGTCAGGATATCTGCGCTGACATAGTCGCTCAAACGGTAGAGAACCGTTGCCGGTTTGCGGATCGAAAAACAGGGTTCCGGCGCGACCGGAGGCAGCAAGCCTTCAAAACGTTCGCCCGTTTCCGGGAGTTCGGCGGAGACAATCGGCTGATGAGCATGACATTCCTGTCCGACATGGCTTGCGACCACGCGAATGATGCGTTCCCGATCCGCCGCACCGATCGTTTGTCCAGTTGCAATCCGGCCTTCGCCGTGCCGGTCGAGCCAGAGCCGGCCATCCGGATTGACCATCACTTCGGTTGTTCGCTCATCCTCCAGCGCCGCGGTGATGAGCGGCCCCATTGCGGTCGTCAACATGGCGCGGCGGCGGTTTCGGGTTGCCGGTTGAAGACGTTCATTCATCGCCGGCCTCCTGGGTTGCGCCCTCGCCGGGATTTGCCTGTTGCCCGCGAACATTCCGCAGAGCGTCGATCTCCGTTTCCGTATAGAATTCGCTTTCATCCGCACTGACCTCTTCCAGGACATCGCGGATCATGTTCCTGCCACCGGCAATGCGTCTTGCGAGCTGGCCCACGAAATACTCAAAGCGCTCCTTGCCAAGGGCCCGTGCAGCATCCTGGTCGGCATTGGGCAGGGGCGGCGTGACGGTCAGGAAAAAACGGACATAGAGCGCAAGCGTTTCGGAGGTTATGGAGAGATTCCGCTCAAGGCGGTCGTATTGACGGCCGATCCGGTCGAGGCGCCGGATCAGGGCGCCATCGCGCTGATCGTCGAATTCCTTGGAGAAAAATCCCAGGAGCGCTGCTTCGACGACGGCTGCCTTGGTCACGCCCGGGCGCCTGGCGGCGATTTCCACCCTCTCTGAGAGTTCATGCGAGATATGGACGTTCAAACGGGGTTTCATCGGATTTCCCTTAGAATTTCGGCAGGAGATCATCGTCAGCCTGGTCCATCGCGTGCGCGCGGCGGATGGCAGCGTTGTTGCGGCTTTGCTCTGCGAAGCGGTTTGCGGTATTTGGGTCGAAATCGTCGTCGAGAAGACCGGCATCGGTTACCAATTCGGGCTCGGTCGATGTCCCGGTTTGCTCCGGCAGATCCTGGAGAGGCTTCAACCCGCCATCTTGGTCTTCGCTGCTGCGCATTTCTTCCGGCCAAGACTTCACGAGGCCGGGATGGGCGCTTCGAACTTGTCCCGACCAGTCGTCCGGGCGGTGTGGCGGACGGTCCCCAAATGGACCGCCCACCTTCAGGCCAGGCGGGGGGAGAACCCGGCCAAAAAGGTTCCTGTCTTCGAAGTAGCGGAGTTTTTTCGCGCGGATCGGCGGATGACCTGAGATCATGACGATCTCCTGGTCCATCGGCAGCTGCATGATTTCGCCCGGCGTCAGCAGCGCGCGTGCGGTCTCCTGGCGCGAGACCATGACATGGGCGAGCCAGGGCGCGAGACGGTGACCGGCATAGTTACGCTGCGCGCGCAGTTCCGTCGCGGTTCCAAGCGAATCGGAGATCCGCTTTGCCGTGCGCTCGTCGTTGGTCGCAAAGGCAATGCGCAGGTGGCAGTTATCGAGAATGGAATTGTTCTCACCATAGGCCTTGGAAATCTGGTTGAGGGATTGGGCGATCAGGAAGCTGCGCACGCCGTAGCCGGCCATGAAGGCGAGCGCGCTTTCAAAAAAGTCGAGCCGTCCCAGAGCCGGGAATTCGTCCAGCATCATCAGGAGTTGATACTGGCGGGGCTTGTTCTCAGCCTCTTCCAGGCGCTCGGTCAGGCGGCGGCCGATCTGGTTCAGGATCAGCCGGACAAGTGGTTTGGTGCGCGAAATGTCAGAGGGTGGAATGACGAGATAGAGGGAGACCGGATGTTTGCCGTCTTTCAGGTCGGCGATCCGCCACTCGCAGGCGCTGGTGGTCTCGGCAATTGTCGGATCCCGGTAGAGCCCGAGGAAGGACATGGCCGTTGACAGAACTCCGGAGCGTTCGTTCTCGGATTTGTTCAAGAGCTCGCGGGCCGCCTCGGCGACCACGGGATGCACCTTCGGGGTTTTCTCTGCGCCCAGGTGATTGGTCCGCATCATCAGACGCAGGGACTGTTCAAAGGAGCGCGAGGGATCGGAGAGGAAGGTTGCGACCTGTGACAGGGTCTTATGCTCTTCGGCGTAAAGGACGTGCAGGATGACACCGACGAGGAGCGAGTGGCTGGTTTTTTCCCAATGATTGCGCCGCTCGAGCGCGCCTTCCGGATCCACCAGAATATCGGCGATGTTCTGGACGTCGCGGACTTCACAGAGACCTTTGCGGACCTCCAGAAGGGGATTGTATTTTGCGCTCGCCGGGTCGGTCGGATTGAAGAAGAGGCAATGGGAAAAGCGCGACCGCCAACCGGCTGTCAACTGCCAGTTTTCGCCCTTGATGTCGTGAATGACAGTGGAATGCGGCCAGGAGAGCAGGGTCGGAATGACGAGACCGACGCCCTTGCCCGAGCGGGTCGGCGCAAAGCACATGACATGTTCGGAACCATCATGGCGCAGGTAGCGGTTGCTCAAGCGCCCGAGGAACACGCCTTTGTCATTCGCAAGTCCGGACATTGCGATTTCGGACCGGGTGGCCCAGCGCGCGGAGCCATAGGTCGTGACGATCCGGGTTTGGCGCGCCCGCCAAAGCGACCCGGCGATGGCGACCGCAACGCCTGCGAGGCCGCCGGACGCGGCGATGATCCCTGCTGCTGCAAAAACATCCGGTGCGTAGGCCTCGTAGGCATACCACCACTCGAACAAGCGCCAGGGCAGATAGACCCTGTAACCGGCGACCTCGAACCATGAAGGCCCGAGACGCGGCTGGTTTTCAAGGGCGTGGGCAGCCCATTGTGTTGCGCTCCAAACGGCACCGATCACGATCGCAAAGACGATCGCAATTTGGCCGAGGAGGAGTTTTGTGGGTGTCATCGATCTTTCGCCGCCCGTTGAAGTCGGGCTGAAGATCGTCGGAATTCCGGGTTTTAATCAATGAGGTCGGCGCCAAGGTGGTCCAAGGGATAAAGGACCGGAAAAGCTTGGCAAACTTGAGCAAGCTTGCGCCAGTTTCTTCCAATCGACTTTTTGAGAAGGTTCTTTTTGACACGGAACGGGTTGGTGCCCTCTGATTCTTGCGTCATGGTAAGTTGTCGATCGCAAGATCACCAAGGTCAGTTAAATGACAATCCTGTCACTTAATGGGCATTATTCCTCTTAAAATGCCTCTATTGACACTTTATCAAGAAAAATCTTCTTTCCTTAAAGTGCCTAATCTGTCATCTTATTCAACCAATACAGGATCAAAGTGACAAGGTTGACACCTATGCAGATGGGTCAGAACAGTTCAGACGAGGCCGTGCTGAAGGAACTCGGCAACCGGCTCTCCCGCTATCGTCTCAACCGCGACCTGACGCAGGAGGCGCTTGCGGAGGAAGCGGGCATCTCGAAACGCACGCTCATCCGCCTTGAAGACGGGGAGCCCGTTCAGGCCACCAACCTGATCCGGGTGCTGCGTGCCCATGGCCTGTTGCAGAACTTCGATGCGCTTGTCCCGGAACCGGCCCTCAGCCCCATCCAGCGGGCAAAGCTTCAGGGCAAGGCCCGCAAGCGTGCCTCTTCACCTCGAGAAGATACCGAAGAAAATTCCTCCTGGTCCTGGGGAGATGACGCATGACGACGGCAGTGGTCAGGTTGTGGGGCCGGGACATCGGCGCGGTCAGCTGGGACGTGGACGGCGCGATCGGCAATTTCGAATATGATCCCGCCTTCCGCCAAAGCGGCATTGAGATCGCACCTTTGACGATGCCGCTGTCGGAGCGCATCTACAGTTTTCCCGCCCTGCCGCGGCCGACCTATCACGGGTTACCCGGGTTGCTCGCCGACTCCCTGCCTGACGATTTCGGCAACGCCCTTATCAATGCATGGCTTGCCCGCCAGGGCCGGTCTCCCGAGACCTTCAATCCGGTCGAGCGGCTTTGTTACACTGGAACGCGGGGCATGGGTGCTCTTGAATATCAGCCGGCGCGCGGCCCTGCACTCGACCAGTCTGTCGAGGTCGATGTCGGAGCCTTGGTCGATCTTGCCAGCGAGATCCTGACGAAGCGCAACACCCTGCAAGGCTCGTTTCTACCGGACGAGCGCGAGGAGACTTTGCGGGATATCTTGCGTGTCGGGACGTCGGCAGGTGGCGCCCGCGCCAAGGCCATCATCGCCTGGAACGATCAAACCGGCGAGGTCCGTTCCGGTCAGGTGTCGGCGGGCGAGGGTTTCAGCTACTGGCTGTTGAAATTCGACGGGGTTTCGGGCAACCGGGACAAGGAACTCGACGATCCGGCCGGCTTCGGCCTGATCGAATATGCCTATTACCGGATGGCGAAAGACGCGGGCATTCAGATGAGCGATTGCCGCCTCCTGAAGGAAGGCGGGCGCAGCCACTTCATGACGAAGCGCTTCGACAGGACGGCGACGGGGCGTAAACTCCATATGCAATCGCTCTGTGCCATGGAGCATTTCGACTTCAAACGCGCCGGTGCCTATTCCTATGAACAGGCCTTGCAGACGATCCGGAAGCTCGATCTTTCCATCGAAGCGGTGGAAGAGCAATTCCGCCGCATGGCTTTCAACATCATCGCCCGCAATCAGGACGACCATGTGAAGAACATCGCCTTCCTGATGGACCGGGCAGGCAGCTGGTCGCTCTCGCCTGCCTATGACGTGACCTACAGCTACAATCCGAGCGGCGACTGGACGAGTTCCCACCAGATGACGCTGAACGGCAAGCGGGATGGGTTCACTATAGAGGATTTCGACGCCTGCGCCCGGCTCGCCTCGATGAAGCGCGGCCGCGCCAAGGAAATCGTTCAAGAGGTCCGTGACGCGGTCTCGCACTGGCCGACAATTGCCGAAGAGACCGGCATTTCTGACAGCCGCATTATGGAGATCAAACGCAACCAGCGGCTTGCTATCGCCGGCAGCGGAACCTGATACCGTGTCTCTGTGCCCGATCCTCCCCTTACCCGATCCCAAGCCCGCGTTTGCGCAAAACATCGAAGGAAATGTTTGATCCTCGCAAGCGTCCGGAGACCGTCTTTCCGAGCTGGCGTTCAAGCACTGGTCGCCACGGAACCAGCGTGAACTCTCTCGCATTTTCGAGAATAGCGAAGCGGCCACTCGCCAGTTTCACCGAGCGTTTGTAGATCCCTTCCGCGCGTGCCCCGTCCGGGGTTTCTACAAAGGAGAGGCCGGTTTTCTTGGAAAGCTCGGCGCCAGCCGCTTCCAGCTCCCGTTGCCTGAGGAGTTGCAGCAGGTTGCGGCGATAGCGGATCCCCTTTTCCTGCCGTTCTGCCAGGCCTTGGGCTAACAGGTTCTCCTGCCGACGCAGCATCGCTGAGCGGGCAAGATCCCCAAATCGGCCACCGCGCAGTGGCAGCGGGTCAACTTCGACGAGCTGCCGATCAAGCCAGGTGGCGCCTTTCGCATCGACCTGGGCCTCGAGGGAAAGATAAGAGAGCGTTCTGATACGGGCAGGATAACGCGCAGCTTTTGCTCCGAGGGCCATGGCACGTTCCTCGAAATCGTCCGGTATCTCCCACGAGCCGTCGGCATTGCGCTGAACGACGTCCTGCCGCCTCAAGGCTTCGAGCCGGCGCACATGCGCCTGGGCAAAATCCGGCGACGCTGTACCGTCTTGGCTCAGGTGCGCATCAGGCGAATAGATCCCGCTATTCCCCTTTGCGATCTCTGCAATGGTGCGGTCGGCTTGTTGAGTGCCCCGCCCTGCCGATACTATCTCGACGACCGCTCCCAATGGCAGGTCTTCCATATCCTGGCGCGGATCGAGGGCAACGTGATGGACACGGCCGTCTGCGCCATCGACCAGGAGATAGTGGCCCTCATTCAGTTCATCCTGCAGCCCGCGGTCGGCGATCCGGCCGATGAATTTCGTGCTGCGAGGATCGGCAGGATCAAAGATGGCGTAGTCGCTCGCGCCCGCATCCAGGCCCGCCGCCTTAAGCCCCCGGTGCATGGTCTTGATGATGTCGCTGCGATCGCCGGTGCGACGGAGGGTTGTTTCCAGGTTTGGGGAGAGTTGCCACTTGCCGGCGGCAAGTTCATTTGCAAGGCCCCGCCGCTCCAGCACACGAAGCCGTCCGATCTCAAGCGATTGCCCGCCGTGCGCTTTGCCGCGGTTTGTATCAGCATGCAAATCGAGCAGGCTGTCTTCGCACTGACGGAGCAGGCGTCGGTCGAGATCGGTGAACCTCTCCTGGTCAACCTGCCGCTCGAGTTTGCGCCGGAGTTCCTGCTCCGTTTGGGGTCCAAGCTCTAGCGTCACGAGTTCGCTTGCGCGCCGGCGTATGCCATGACCGATATAGTCCCGGGCAATAACAAGATCCTGACCCTGATCGTCCCGGCCCCGCAGCAAAATATGGGAATGGGGCTGGGCGGTGTTGAAATGATCGACGGCCACCCAGTCGAGCCTGGTGCCGAGATCCTGTTCCATCGTCCGCATCAGATCGCGAACGAAGGGTTTGAGGTTCTCGAGCTCGATTGCGTCTTCGGGTGAAACGATGAAGCGGAACTGGTGCCGGTCGTTCTCGCTGCGTTTCAGAAAGGCGCCACCATCGGCCTCATCGCTCTTGGTATCATAAAGCCGGCCGGCTTCGTTTTCTTTAGAGACACCGTCGCGCTGAAGGTAACGCAGGTGCGCGCGCGCCGCGCCAAGACCGCCCGTCCCTCCCTTTGCCGCCAATTTGACGATCCGGGACTTGATGACGACCCGGCGGGACGCGGCCGAAAATCTGTATCCGGCCCGATGCCGGTTCAGCCAATCATTGCCGCGTCCGATCCTCTTGCCCGTGAAGCCGGTCGATCGGCTCGCTCCGGCAGCGCCCGCACCTTCCGCTGAAATCCGGTGAAGCACCTGGTTCAGGTAGCTTTTCGCCTTTGCGCCACCCTGGCCGCGGATACGGCCCGGTTTTGGCTTGAAGAGATTGTCCCTGCCCTCGTGATTGTCCTTGGTCATGAATTGAAGCCGATTGAATGCGAAGACCTGGATCTGCTAGCTTGCACCCGGTCTTCTTTTGAAATTTCAGAAGCTTGACCTGTTTCACCTGCACCCGAGGCCTGCCGCTTGGTGCAGGTTAAACCCGATGTGCAGACTGGGGTTCGGGGTGCCTTGCACCCGTACCTTTTATCTTGCCTTCCACCGCTCTTATCCGTTTCTTCTGCTTTTGGCCGTTGATGTGCCCGAGACCTTCAGCTTTCAGTCCCGCGAAAGGAGGCTGATCCGCGTTGCTCTACCGAGGATTTGCGCTTCCTCGACGGGACCAAAATACCGGCTGTCGAAGGAATTCGGGTGTTTCTGAAGCAGGAAGATCTGATGGTCCTTCAGTTGCCGGCACCCCTGCCAGCGAGGCAATTGCCGACCGTTACTATCCGTTGATTTCGCATGGGCGGCGATGACGCCATTGATAAAAACCCGGGTTTTCCAGCGGCAAACCGCATCGCCTTTTGCGGCGACGATCCCCTTGATCAAGGGGATATCTTTGGGGAGATAACTCCGATCCTCGATGAGTGTTCGAAGCCATTTTGGCGGCGTTATCAGCACATAATCGCCGATTTTTGCTTCGGACTGGTCGAGCCAATAAAAGCCGATTGGTGCGCTTACCGACCCGTTATACGCGAGTTTTTTCGGCATGATTTCCACCGCCGAAATCGCCAGGACTAGCACTGAGACAGCGGTTGAAACGAGCACTGGCGCCTTCATCTAAGAACCCTTCTTGCTGCCTGTACCGCCCTGTTTTGCGACTTCGAATAGGGCCGGAAATCGCAGCGTGTGAGGATGCGATTGTGCAGATGGCGAAAGTAAGCGGGCGAGATTTTGTGGGGTGTAAAGCACCGGGCTTCGAGCGTATCGAGATGCGCCAGCATCTTCCGGACACGGGCCGCTCCACTCACATGAAGCAGGATCACGGCTCCCGGTTTGACGCCCTGAAGACGCGTAATTGTTTCTCCCGGCCCAGCCGTTTGCCCGACCACAAGGACCCAGACTTCAGTCCCGAATTCGTTTGAGGACCAGCGCAGGTATCCGAACAGATGGCCAGGTTCGAAGACCGCAAGCGCGCGTCTTCGGTCAAACAATATCCGCTCCTTCGGCTTACCGAAGCGCAGCCTGTCATTGCGGTATTCGGGATAAAAGACGAGTTCGATGGTCGTGAGAAGGCGGTCACACATCGGAGGTGGAATCCTTCTTTCTGAGGTTCGACCAGTCGTTGAGATCGTCGATGTGATAGCGCACATGGCGTCCGTGTTTGCGATAGATCGGGCCGCCGCCATAAACGCGCATCTTTTCCAGGGTGTTCGGTTTCAGCTTCAAGAACCTGGCCGCTTCCCTTGTGGTGAGAAAGGGGCCGTCGCCTAAAGTTTCGGGTGTTTGCTCACTCATAGTAGCTCCGATTGTTGAATTTCGGAGCTGGGGCTGCGGTGGCACCTACAGCCGCGTCCAGGAATTCCGCTCCGAAGGCCGCCAAGATCGGCGAAGTGGAGCCATTTGAGGACTGGCGAAAACTATCAAGACGGTTTTCGCCAGAGGCGGGAGACCGCTTTCTTGAGGAATTGCCCCCGCGCCGGCTGGCGCGAGGGCTTTTTTGTTTCCTCTCAGGCGGGGTTCCAGAGGATTGCCATGACGTTTTCGTTTTCGTGACCTGCTGCACGGCCGAGATTGGCGAAGATGCGGTCCGGTCCGAACTCGGGTGCAGCGAAGGTCAGCGAGATATAGGATCTGCCGCTGGTTTTGCCGGTCTTGTTCCAGCCGCCGCCGATTTCGATGCGGTCTTCGGTGAAGACCCGGAAGTCGGGCTGGCCGTCGCTTTCCTTGGCCTCGTTCGGCCTGATGCTGATCCGCTTTTTGAGGCTCATCATCGAGAGCGTGCCTTCGAAAGCGCCGGTTTCCGTCTTGGTTACAAATCCGAGTGCCTGTGCCATTTTCTTCATCTCCTTGTGTTTGCCGCCTCAGGGCCTCTCCCTTCGGCTGACGCTGGACCGGGAATGGCGGACGGGGACCGGGCAAACCCGAAGGGCCGAAGCGGTGAGCGGAGGACTGCCGTGCAGCGGTATTTTGGGGGCGTAAGCCCCGGCGCGAGGAAGTCCGCTTCGACCAAGCGGACGGGGAAAAAACCGCTCAAGCGGCAGTTTCGCCCGGGCGCCGTTCGCCATAGGTCCTACAAGCAAAGCCGTACGGGAGAGGCCTTGATGCGAGAAGGTGTTCAAGGCGTGAAAATGGTCGGGCACGGGACTTGGAGTGTGTCCTAAGGAAACGGATTTCGACAGTTTTCCGTCGCATGGGTTTGAGCCTCGGGAATGCCTATCCGCCGGCTCTCATCGCCAAAAGGAGACGGCTGCCTCTCTTCCGATTGGAGCGTTTGCGAGGTTTCAGAGGCAACTGGGACAAGACCGGCAAAATCGGCGGCAGGTTCTTTTTTGATCGACATCGCGCGCCATTCTTGTCGAGTGTCGTCGCCGTCAATTTTGGACGTGCGGCAGACCGGAAACCTGGAACATCCTCATTCCTCCCTCCCTGATCCGCCCGAGAAACAAGACCCGCACCTATTCGGTTGGGTCTTCTTTAAATGAATTCGATGAACCGCCCGGCGGGCTGCGAAGCTTCGTTTCGGGTGAAAGCTTCGCTGACCGCCTCCCCTCTTCAGCCGGAAAGTTTTTGAGCGCGAGCAGCCATTTCGCTGAGCCGTCCAGCCCCGGATCTGGTGTAGGCGGTGAAGGGAAATTTCAGGTAACGCGGCAGCCACTGGGCGTTTGCACTGTCGTCTTGCGCTATCTTCAGACTGTTCCGGATCGCCTGTTTCTGGGCTTTTGCCGTGGTGCTGATATTGGCGTTGGCAATCTCTTTTCCCCCGGTTTCCTTCAGGATTTCATGGAGTGCGGATTTATCCCGGAGAAGTTCGAAAAATGCATCTTCCGGTTCCCAGAGTCCGGTCATATCGACTTCGAGGTGGTTGCCGATCTGCTCGTTCAAACTGGTCCCGGCGCTCAAGGTTTCGGCCATAACGAAGGTCAGAATACGCATGACATCCGTCTCGGCTAGTTTGATCAAGGTGGTAAGAAGTGCACCGATGCGAAGGTCCGCACCAAAGGGACGCGTCAGCGTCGGGCCCTTCTCAGGAAGGCCGAGCAGCGTCAGAATGTCTTTCCGCTCGGCGTCGAATGCCGCTTGCGCCTTGGAGTTTGCAAGGCTCACGGCGCTTGCTTCCCGGTCGGCTTTTTGCGGTTCCGGGCGGACTTGCCAGAGGTCTGATCCGCAGATGGCGTGAGCGACCATGACGCGCATTGCCAGTGGCTGGTCTTTCATCATGGCGAGACAAACTGCGGCATGGCGGTGGAGCGCGACATAGTTCTGCGCGGCGGCAGTCAGTTCGGCGCGGGCGGGCTGCGCTTCTTCGTTTTCTTGCGCCTTACTGCCAGACTTTTTGAGACGCCGGTCATGTTCCTTTCGCGTGAGGTAGCCTTCGTGGAAGGTCACCTCGCCATTCGTTCTGACTTCGACAACGACCCGGCCACCGTCTTCTTTTGCGGTTTCCACGTGGTCCCAGCGCTGGAAATATGCCCCGGGATCGAGCACGACGACGTCGGCCCAGCCGTCGTCTTTGTAGGCGTCGCAGCGTTCGGCGATGGCCTTGTTCTGGAGCTGCCAGAACTGATCGTTGCCTGAAAAATATCCAGTTTCACCGAAGAGATCGGTAACGATTTCGCCGGAATAGGCATCGAGGGGAAAGAGCGCTGCTTCCAGTTTGAGTTCACCGCCGAAGAGCCATTGTTTCAGCTGACGGCCTCGCGGTTCGCGTTGCTGCGGGTCATCAAACAGCTTGAACCAGTCTGCTTGCTGCTTACACGTCGCGAGCGTCAGGTGACGAACGGTTTCCGGATCGATATCGCCTTGCCGGGACGCGTTCCGAATTTCGGGCAGGAGATTGCCGAGGGCAAGCGAGCGTCTGACCATGATCTCGGTTACACCGAAGGTTGCTGCGATTTCTTCGACGCCGCGCCCCTCTGCAGCAAGACGGGCAAAGGTTTCGAAGCGCGTCATTTCATCAGGTGCGAGGCGTGCGATGTTTTCGATGAGCGATGCTTCGATCGCGGCAGCGTCATCTGCGTCTTTCATGATGGCGCAAGGGACGGGTTCGACTTCCCCACCTTCCTTCATGATTTTTTTGAGGCAATGGAAGCGCCGTCTTCCGGCAACGATTTCGTAGCCGCTGCCGTTCTTGCGCACGAGCAAAGGTTGCTGAACGCCTCGGGCACGGATGGAGGGCAGGATATCGGAGATGTCGGGTGCTTTGCGTTCGTTGCGCATATTGAGTGGTGACACTTTCAGTTTTTCGAGCGGAATATGGGAAAGTTTCATTGGAGTTTCTCCTTGAGATCAGCCGGTGTTGTCACCGGAAATCGCTGCTTTAAAATTGGGATTGGTGCGGACCGGCCTTGTGCGTTCGGACTTGTGGGGCTGACTTGGCGAAATGTCTTCGGAAGCAAAAGAACCAATCCTCAGCGGCTCCAGAAGACGTGTGTTTCTTCAAAGCCGAGTTCGATGGTGAAGACCTCTCCGCCGAGTTCCATGTCACGGGCAATTGCGTCATAATCGATGTAGTTGGCGAGCCGTTCGGGGAACTCGGTGGTTTCTTCGATGAGGTCCCGGGCGTAATCGGCGAGCGAGCGATAGCTGCCCGCGTAATTGTCGAAGGCGTTTTCGGCTTCCTCGACGTTCCCGCAAAAATGCTTCAAGAGTTTGCTGCCAAGGGCACCGCGTTCGTTCATAAAGACTGCCAATTCCGCAACGCTTTCAATGCTCGCGTATTCGGCGATTTCCGCCCCTTCGAAGCCCTCGTAATCGTGAATGGCCCATTCCTCGGCCTCATCGATGGGTGAGGTTTTCAGCATCGCAGAGATTTCAGACCTGATGGCCTCTGCGTCCTGATCGGCGCTGATCCACTGCCCGTGCAGACAGCCGTTGTTATAGGCGGCAAGACAGGCCACATAGATCCGCGGCCCCTGCACTGCCAAAGAGCTGTGTTCCTGTTGGGTGTTTCCGTTCATTTGCTAAACCCTCCATCCCGCCGCTTTTCCCCCAAGGTGGGGGGCGGCAAAGAGGCCCGTCAGCCCCGAGCGATAAGGGCGCGGCGCAATGGGTTTGGTAGGAAAAAAATGAAGACCTCGACGCACAATAGTCCGAACCGGTTGCGGCGTGACCGCTCGGGGCTAAAAGGGCTGACCGCCCCTCACCGGCAGGGAAAAGCAAAACCAAAACTTCGCCGGCCCTTGGCCGGCGGCCGTCTTCCGAAGCAAAAGCTTCGGATCTGCGGCAGGGGGTGACACCGGATCGCCGAGACCGGATGGAGCGCAGTGACGAAGGGCTCGGTTCATGAGCACCCGGTGGGCAGGTGAAAGCTGCGCAGGCGCCAATAGACCAGCCAGCCACCGGAAACGGCGACTGACTGAAATGTCTATCAGATCACTGCGCGCGTATGGCGAACGAGTGTGTCAGAGCAGCGTCGCACAAAAATTCCACCGACAGCCGAGCGTACGGAAGCAAACCGGGCATACGAGACAGGCCAACGCAAAGCGGCAGGTCCCGGGGTTTCTGCTACCGCGCCTTACTTTTTGGTCTTTTTCTGTTTTCTCTGCTGCCCGAGACCCATTTTCTTTGCAAGTTCAGAACGGGCGGCAGCGTAGTTGGGAGCGACCATTGGGTAGTCGGCCTCGAGCCCCCACTTCTCGCGATACTCTTCAGGCGTCATACTATAGTGCGTGCGGAGATGACGTTTGAGGGATTTGAACTTCTTTCCGTCTTCCAGACAGACAATGTAGTCCGGTGTAACGGATTTTTTGACTGGAACGGCGGGTTTGAGCGGTTCGGATTCCGGCTCGTTGGAACTGGCTGCGGTTTGTTGCAATGCCACGTGAACTTCGTTGATAAGGCCCGGCAAATCGGTAACCGCTACAGTGTTGTTGCCGACATAGGCAGAAACAATATCTGCTGCGAGATCGACCAGGTTCAGTTCAGGAGCAAGTTCCTCGGACATCTTCAAATTTCCCTGCAAATAAGACTGCATAAACCTATAGATAAAATTCGCCAAGTAAATCGCACAGAGCTGACTTTATTAACGTGCTTTGGAACAATACCCTTTCGGCCGGAATGGGGCAGACTGCAGACAGGCAACTTCCTATCATGAAACATGAGAAGCAGACCTTCACGTCGACGGAGTCACAGGAAGGTTCCGGCCCTAACCAACCGCTCGGTGCCAGCGTGATACGGCAGTGCAGTTTCCCGAACCGGCCATTCGTGACTTTCGCGGCGAAGTCTGATCGCGATGTCGGCAATGCGCCCTCATGCACGAACCCGCTTCGCGGGAAGGCGCACGTGGCGAGGACTGATAGATTTGTCTGAGGCTCTGGGCATGCATCAGCTGCCAGCAGGCCATGGAGTTCCCTTCAACAAGAGGAACTCGCCATGACGACCTTTCAGACCGATGCCCCGATCACACCGCTTCGCCAGCGTATGCAGCAAGACATGGTTATGCGGGGCCTGGACTCCCATACACAGCAAGATTATGTTCGCCACGTCCGGAACCTCGCCGCTTTCCTCGGCCGTCTTCCCAACAATGCGACCACCGAGGACATCCGGCACTACCAGTTGCGCCAGCATGAGACCGGCGTGGGTCCGGCGACGATCAACAGCACGGTTTCGGTGCTGCGTTTTTTGTTCACGGTGACGCTCAACCGGCGAGATCTATCGCGTACTCTGGTTATAACCCGCAATCCGCGCAAACTACCCGAGGTTCTGAGCGTGGAGGAAGCCGCTCATACTGCTCGAGGCAGCACCTGGCATCAAATACAAGGCAGCGCCGGTGTCGCCTATGGCGCGGGCTTGCGTGTCTCCGAAGTCGCGCATCTCAAAGTCGACGATATCGACTCGACCCTCAGGCTGATCCGCGTCGAACAGGGCAAAATCGAGCGTTAGCATCAGACTTTGAAAAACCACATCCTTCTGGAAAACTACTTCCTGCCCGGCGATCTCATGAGGCAGATCGGCAGTTTCATCAGCCACTACAATCATCATCGATATCACGAGAGCTCCGGCAATCTGACACCTGCCCATGTCAACTTCGGGCGTGGCGAAACCATCCTGCTCGAACGTGAAAGGGTCAAACGAATCAATCAACAGCGTTTGCAATACCGCAATCAAGCCGCTTAAATTCAACCAACAAGATGGGCCAATCTATGGGGAGAGGGTCGCATTTCCGATTTCCGATCGACATGATAGTCCACGGTTGATTGATAAGTTTGTTCCAGGCTTGGCAGCACAGGGCCAGGATCTGTTCGTAGGATTTGAAAATCCGGTTTGAGAGCCAGTTGTTGCGCAAGCGCGGAAGATAGCCTGTTCTCACAAAGGAAGGCCTCGCAGGTGTAATCACAAAAGACATACTGTGTTTTAATTGGCACAACGGGGTGCGAAAAAACAGTTTAACTCGGTCATCAGATGACTAAAAGAGAGTTAAACTATGACTGACACCATTCAAAAAACGCAACCTGCAGAAATTTCACCTAAAAATGAGCAGACTCCGAAGGCCCCGGCCCAAAACTTCCGGGGAAGACAACCTAGCATGTCTAACGAAAATCTGCCCGTGCAGTTGGCGAAATTAAAGGTAAATGAAAATATCAAACAAACGTATGGGCCACTCTCAGGCGCTAAGAGTGGAATAGCCTGGCGGAACCTCCTCGAAGGTATTTTTTTCCCTTGTCAGAAGCTGTCAGACACACTTGCCACAATTGAAGAATCCACCTTAAGTGTGAATTCCTCTAATTGTAATACAACGGTTCCTGCCGAAGTTAAACAATTACTCCCACTTTTTGACCATCTCGATGAAGAAGAAACTCCACAATTTGACTTCGAATTTGACATCAACGGCGACGAGGAGGAGTCTAACAAGACCTCATGTCAGAAAGGTCTGAAACATCAGGACGATAAGGTCGCTTCTGACTCGAATCCCAAAAATAAAAGCCAGATATGATAGGCTGAAATCCTGCATGTCGCGCCTTTTGATACCAACGGCGTGACGGGATCAGACCGTCACACTCTGAGCAGGGGAAATACGCCACTGTGCTCGAGCTTCGATGCGTGAATTCATTCCAAGGGACGGGCCGCCCTACAAGTGGTACTTTTTATGCCATAGGGACGGCCCCTTCATAAAATCGTGCCCGAGCCCGAGACGGTCTTTCACTTGGCAATCGCCTGGTTGAGTTTCTTGGTTTAGCGCCGATCAGACCTGGATTGTCAGTACAATGTCCGAACGGACAAATCCGGTACTTGCGGCGTCGGCGGATAGCCCTGCCAGACCCTAGACAGAACTGTTCGACTTCAGCGCCAATGGGACAAATTGAAGAGTTTGCATAGAGGAGGATTTTTGGCTCATCGTAGCTGATCAAGGAGCGAAGATGAGACGGAAATCCAGGCCGGATAAAGAGCCGGCAAACAAGATGATCAAGGAAATCCGCCGAGTGACGCGTCGGCGTTTATCGGCAGAAGAAAAGATCCGGATTGTTTTGGAAGGTTTACGGGCACCCGGTGCTCGCCGGTAGGCGTGCAGGCGCTAACCAGATGCTCTAAGAACTGCCAAGATTTGAACTGGATCTGAACCAATCGCGTCCATAACATCCAAGAATTCTAACAAGTCTAACCGCCGCTCACCTCCTTCGTATTTCGCAACGAATGATTGAGATTTCCCAAGTTTGCTTGCCAATTGCTCTTGGGTGAGACCATTTGCTTTTCGCAATTGGACCAGCTGCTCCAAAAGCAAAAGATGACGATCAGATCTCAGGGATTTGGACATGAAGCGTACCGGCCTAGAAAAGACCGCGCACCAAATAATCCTAGTTTCGGATTATCCCATTTTGGGATTTTTTGACCGAAACAGACCCAAACTGTCCGGAGATTGCTGTCAAATGAAGTTGACTAATCCGCCGCAAAAAGCGCGATGCAGTCTCCCCCCAACTCCCCCCTCTTTCACTGCCTATGATGCGGCGAATTTCACAAGCTGTATGCATCTCCTCACACTCGCGTCCGGTGGCGCAAGCCCTGAAGAAATGGCTCGTGATGTTTTTGGCATTGATCCGAAGTGTGACCCGCAAAAAGCGGCCCAGATTGTGGACGCTCACCTGAAACGTGCCAACTGGCTGCTGGTGTCGGGCTATCGTGATCTGTTCACGCCGGTTGGCTAGCGCAAAAAGTCCCGATAGCCTTTTGTCATGAGATATCGTCCGCGACGAACCGCGCGTCTTACCTGGTCGCGAAGATGA